TTTTTTTTTTGAAATTTTCAAATTTTGACCGGCCGGGTTATGAAAACCATTTAATTAATTTTGCATGGCCTTATAATGTTTATTAATGGATTTTTTTCAAATGCATTATGAAGCAAGATGGATGTTTTTACAAAAGTGAGGCCAAAGCTATATAAAAAAATTTGGCAAATTTATTTTTAAAATAAACTTATCTTTGAAATAATTTATTTTTAAAATAACCTGGTTTAAAAAAATCTGTCTTTAAAATAAACTACTTTTAAAATAAACCTGTCTTTGAAATAAATAGTCTTTAAAGTAAACTGGTTTTGAAATAAACTGTTTTTAAAATAAACTGTTTTAGAAATAAACTGTTGATTAATTAATTGTCTATAAAATAAATTTGTCTATAAAATAAACTGTCTATAAAATAAACTGTTTATAAAATAATTGTCTTTAAAATAAACTCATCTGTGAACTACAAAAAATTTATTATTTTTCAATTTATTTTTATTATTTTTTTTCTAAAACTAAACTTTATATAAGGTGTTATATATTGAGACCAGTTTATAACACAACTAGTTATGTAGAAAACATATTTTAGTAGGGTTTTAACCAATTTTTTATTTCTGGTAATCTTTAGCATTATAAAAATAAAGACTTTTGTTACTAATAGATTTGGGTCTGAACTATAAAAAATTTTTTTAAAAGTAGTTTATTGAAAATCTAGGTGATCTTTATTTCTATAGTATTTTAGAAATCTTTTTTTTAAATTTCATTGTTTTTATTAATTTTTAATATTTTGTAATTTGAAGATCTTTATTTGAAGTTGAAGTACTATAACATCTATAGTAGTTTGTTTTCTATAGATTTTGTTTTAGTGAAGTATTTGAAATATAAAATGGCTTTTGAAGATTTAGATTTGGACAATTGTCAAATAAATATTTCTTTTTTTTTGAATAGAAACTATCGCTTTTGTTTTATAAATTTTTGTTAGAATGCTTAGTGTGAAATATGTATATAGCAAAAAAACAATAACTTAAACAAGTACTAGTTATATTCTTTAGTTAAAAGTTCTTTTATTTTTATTTTTTATAAATTAATATTAAGTTTAAATTTACTAGAATAGGGTTTATTTACTTCCTCTGTTTCTATTGGTTGATCATTCTCATTATATAAAATAAATCATTATGTATAAATTAATATTTATTGTATTTAATTTTTTTTCGAATCTTTTTTTTCTTTTTTTTTTGTATTTAAATTTTTTTTTTCTTAATAGTTAATTTTTTTGTATTTAATAGGTAATCTATATCAAGTTGAAGTTCAATAATTTTGGAATTCAATAATTCTTTACTATATTGAATCTTTAGAGCTTTCTATAATGAGAGTAATTGTATTTAGATTTTTCTCTTTTTTTTTATATTTTTTCATATTCAAATTTTCTTTCATTTTTAATTTTTTTGGCATTTATTCTTTTTAGTTTTAATTTTTTCATATTTAATATTTAATTTTTTTTATATTTAATTTATTTTTATTTTTTTGCATTTAATTTTAATTTTTTTATATGGGCTAGGTGCTGAGAAAGGAGATGAAATAGACAAAAAAAAGATCTTTGGAAAATCAATTTTTATGTTTTAAATCTTATAATAAATCATAAGAAAATACAAACTTTGAGAAGCTATATTGCAAAATTTATTAACACAACTACTTTTGTATTTAAGTAAAAAATGATTCTAATCTTATTTTAAATTGGTTTATATAAAAAACATCTTTTGAAAAAATTGTCAATTTTGTCCCTTTTCTCAGCACTTAACACATATTTAATTAATTCTTTTTGAATTTAAATTAATTTTTTTTGAACTTAAATTTAATTCTATTTTTTTCATATTTAAATTAATTTATTTTTTGTATAAAAAATAATTTTTCATTTTTTCATAATTAAATTATTTTTGCTAATTAAAAAAATGTACATGGAATAAACTTGAAATATCTTAGTGTTTATATTCAAAGTGAAGCAAAAAGTTGCATTTTGTAGTCTATCTAATATTTGACAAATGACATTGTAGGACTTATGTGATAATTCTTGTTATAGTTGTAGTAAATTTTTGTAGAAGCAATTATATCTTGAAATTTTGAAAGCTAGTAAGAAAACTTTGAATTCTCAAAAAAAATAAAGAAATTTTTGAACAAATTTTTAAGTTTCATGAGTCTCTAATCCTTAAGAAAATAAAAAAAATAGTTGACTTATATATTTGAATATTTTGAAATTTCCGAAAGTTTGCACGAATCTCTAAATTCTCAAAAAAAAAAAAAAATATTCGAATAACTTAAATATTTGAGATGCTTTCTCGATCTCGATATGCTAAAGGTAGCGTGATTTACTTTATCCAATTGGAGATGGTATATCATATCCAATCAGAGCTGGGGGAGAAATTAGGGCTCCTACTAGAACGGTTGGTGATCGATGGAGATTCAGATCTGGACAAGAAATAATAAGGCTACTCATTTTATCATCGGAAACTCCTATTTCTGATTTCAAAATTTTAAAAACCCACCCACTTATCTTAGAAATATGTTATTTATGAGGTTTTATTTTATTTTTAGAGCATCATATCTTCGAAGCACCGATTTATTCAAATCAAAATATTTCTGTATTTTATTAAGTTAACATTGGATAAAATTGTATAATGTATAAAGTTTTAGCCAGAATCAAAAATCTTAAAATCGACCAAAAAGTGCCGAAGGCTGATTTTCTTAGTCCATTCCCCATATACTCTGGAAGATTATATTAGTACTTGTTATTGATCATGTTATTGATGATAACTGATTATTCACTAGGACAATGTGCTTATGACGTGACCGAAGGCACGTCATAACACGATGTCTGCTGTGAAGAAATCAGCAATTATCATTAATAACATGATCAATAACAACATTATTGTACATTTCTGATGTAAGCACCTAGCCATTTCTGCATCATATTTTAATTTTACTAAAAAGACTATTCAAAACATTACTATAATAGTGCACGTACATAAAAATTGTTGTTTTTTTTATGAAAACATGTAATACTGTAATTATTTTTGGCTATGTATTGATGCAAGAAAAAATCAATTACCCGATAGCCATTACCCCGATGAGTTAGCCAACATTACTAAGCTTTTTAATATATTATAATTTTTAAAGTCTGTTCTATTAAAATACTTAGTTTATACGAATCATGTAACGTACGTACATATCTTGCGCCCAATTATAATTCTTGCCGTTATTGTATGTATTTTTTAAAAAAATTGTTATTGATGCATAAACAGCTCTGCCGTGTATCTTTATTTTAATTAATAAAAATTAAAATGGAGCGTAGTTTAGTTTACTATGAATTTTTTACTACACGCTTCTATAAAATAGTAGGACAACTTAACTTATTCTTGCTAAAATGAAATCACCGGAATGAGAAAAAAAATCTCCACTATAGCTTATATCGGAATATTATAAGTACCAAGGATGGCATGTTACGATATTGGACATTTGGGCAATTTAGACAATTGAACATAGTAAATTTTTTTTATTGGACATAAAAAAAATTCGGGTCAATATTCCTCAATACAAAATATCTCTAATTTACAGAATATTTAAAAAGTATACTGATAGCTATTATTATTATATCACACTACTGAATTCCATTTTGCTTACAACATATTCATATATGTACATATACACACTAGATAGTTTTAAAATATTGCCTCAGTGAAATATGAATAATCAAACAGAACGTTAGAGATTGTAAAATGATTTGTATTTTAATAATAATAATAACAGTTGATTTTATTTTAATTTTTAAAATAAAGGCATATTATAAAAGAAAAACATACCAAATAAAATAAATTAGCCAAGGTCATCACATTGAATTAGAACATAAACTAATAAATTATCATTGTAAATTAATGTGTAAAAATAGTTTATATGAAATAAAAATAAATTTAATAAACGTCATTATTGTAGTTAAAAACAATAAAGCTTTTGCCGTCATATTATTAAATTATCCAATAAAAAATTATCGGACAATTTGACATACGTATATCCAATTGACGACATTGTACAATGCCAACCCTGACAAGCCCGGTTTAACAATTACGCAATTCAAATCCTTCGCTATATAAAATCTACCATATCGATATCGGAAGCTCACTATAATGATAGTAAGTTGTAATAACCGACTCAAATTTATTATACATATAATGTTTTTCTTTTCTTTTTAGCCTACATTAATCACTTCTATGTTTCTACCAATATTACTATACATTGCCTCATAGTATGAATTTGATCTATAAATAGTTGCCGAGTTTTTTTGTTTATATCGATATACATATACTGTGATAGGAATTTTTAAATTCTGATTGAAAAACCTGACCTGCAGCCTGTGTATGTCCGAATTTATCTTGTGTGGGTAATGCAAATCTAAAAAGGTAATTTAAATGAACCAAAAGCGCATGAACGTAAAAATTTAAGGTTGGGGCGTTAGCATTAGCTACGTCGTACGTACGTGCGTACGTACGACGATATTAAATCACACTACAGCACTATCGTTATACGTATGTAAAATTTTCATTCCCGTAATTTTTTAATGAGTGCATACACTCGGATTCTATGTCTAGATGATCAAATTTTAAAATTTATTAATTACTTGCGAAAATGAATGGAAGTACTGTATACGTATCATTTTTAATGAAAAAATAGTACGTACATATTTAAATACCGATTCAAACATTACGTATACAGCGCATCATTAACACCTGTCTAATACCAAATATAGAAAAATAACAATGAATCAAATTTAACCATAATAATAATCGACTAAACAAATATTTATGACAGAAATTTCTAATTGAAACATACGTAGTGTTACAACTATGTGTCCACGCATAAAGAAGTTATATAGTGTCGATTAATTTTTAATGATAAATAAGCATAAATTTTCTCGAGCTTGGACAAAAAATACGCATTTTTTTTATTAAGTAAACAGCAGAATGATTTCTTACAACTTGCCGGATTTATCAACAGATTCTTTTGATGTATCAAACAAAACCAATGATACTCTCATAGAAATTGTTGATAAAAAATCCGACAAGGTTGAGGTTTTTCTAGCTGTTTCTAAAGTTCTTTGCAACAAATGTGAGTATTTTAGGATAGCTTTATCGGATAAATGGGCAAAAAAGGACGATAATTATAAACTAAAATTAGAAGTGTCTTGCGATGCTTTTAAAGTAATATTTGAGTAAGTGTTCATTTTTATCTTATTAGAAATTACGTATTCATTATTTTAGTAATATCAATATTAATAATTTTGATTTTAAATTTTTAGTGGAATTTGTAATGGATCGATTATTTTAAACAATCTAGACTTAGCATTTACTATAGATTTATTATTTGTTTCCGATCTTCTTCTCCTTCACGACTTTCTCGATTTTTTAAAAGTTAAATTGTTAGAAGAAAATAAAGAGAATTGGCGTGATAATGAAATCATTTATGCATTAAAGGCTTCTCAGCAACATCCATCCCTCCATGAACTTTACTTAGTTTGCCAAGATATGGTGGCAGAAAATCCAATGATCTTATTTGATTCACCAGAATTTTCTTCGATTGATGAGGAAATATTACTTAATATATTAAAATTGGATATGATTTGTAAGGATGAAATAGTAGTATTTGATAAATTAATTGAGTGGGGAATCGCAAATACGCCAAAATATTCTACTATAACTAATGAAACATCTAAACTAAGTGCATTAGGTACCACTATTGAAGAAGGATTACAATTAATTCGATACAATTACATACATCGTAACTTTAATGAATTTGATCAAATCATACCAAAAAACTTTTTATATTCATCTCGCTCTAGGGTTATGGTTGATCCAAAGGTTGTTAGTAATAGATTTGCTGGAATAATTGCTGCATGGATTGATAGAAAGGATCCTACAGAAGCTCAATACACTGCTGTTAACAATCCATTCAGATTTAGGCATGTTTTTCGTATGAATGATAATACCTATTTTTCGTCCAGACATTACAGATTTCATCAATTTTCTAACAAGTTACCAACAATTAAATGTCATGAAGGACCTTCATTAATGATAATTAAACTTAAAAATTCGGGAAAAATTATTGGTGCTTACAATCCTATTCAATGGAAAAAAGGAAATTATAGCTATCGTTCTACATCAGAGAGCTTTATTTTCTCCTGTGATGATAGATTTGGTTCAAATTATCAATTATGTAGAGTTATTGATTATAATCGTGCTGTATGTTTATTAGGTGATCTATTAAAATTTGGGGATGATTTAAAGTTTACTTATGATGAAGGAAACGTTAAATGTAAGATTGGACATGAATTTTATGAACAAATTTCTTTGGCTGAAGGTATTTACGAAGTTGATGAATGGAATGTTTATAAAGTTAGAAGAAAAGACGATCTACCAATGCGTGTAATGATAAATTGGGATCTTGAATCAAAAATTATTAATAGTGACTTTTTCGGCATTATCTCAACTTGGATTGATAAAAAAGATGATCCTTACCTTAAATCTAACATGCCATACCAATTTACTCCTATATTTCGCATGAAAGATAATTCAGCTTTCTTTCCAAAACAATATTATAATCAATTAACGGAGAGAGTATTACCAACAATGAAATGTCATCATGGACCTTCGTTGATGTTAATGAGATTAAGATTCTCTGGAAAGATAATTGGTGCTTATAATCCCCTCGATTGGCAACCTGGAGAATATCGCACTTATCCAACTGATGTTGAATATAGAAGTACAAAAGAAAGTTTTATTTTTTCTTATGAACTTAATGAAAATAACGAACCAAATTATCGATTATGTCGTGTTGTTAATTTTGATCGAGCAATCGGCTCTGAGAAATTGACAACCAATAGAAAAGACATAAATAGTTTAATTTTAAGATTTGGTGATGATTTAGTACTTTCACATCAAGGAGGAATACGTCAAAATATTCATTCTGGTATCTTTTGTCGTATAATGGCAAATGGATGCTATGAACAACCGCCCACAATGCCTGACGGAAATTATGAAGTTGACCAATGGGAGATTTTTAGAGTTTCTATAAAAGTTCCAGAAATTTAATAACGGACTTTTACATATTTATAACAATCCTAAGATTCAATTCCCTTTGATTTTCTTTTGTCATTTATATAATTTCGTTTATTTCATAATATTTTATAAATAATACAAAAATGTGATCTCGAATATTTTTGATAATAAAGAATGCATTCCTTTTCAATTATAATTCCATATTGCTAACAAATTCAAAGTGCAAATGTTCCCATTTCTGCATATTTTTCGATTGTAAATGAATATCTTACTTTATTTAATACTTCACTATGATCAGTTTATAAAATAAATCAATTATTTTATGGTATTTTTAAATGATAAAATAATTGAACTATTTCATAAATCTGAGATAGTAAAGCATAAAATAAAACCGTTATTGCATGCTCCGTATGCACTAACTGCTGTATTTTATGTTCTCTTCTGATCGTTCGGTAACTCAGCCGTACCGGCTGGGTTACCAACCAATCATCATCGTCCATAAAATACAGAAGTTATTGCATACTTCGTATGCAATAACTATATAGTATCATATCGGCGGATTTGCAGAATTGGTCCTGAATTGATCCTCAATGTATCCTCTGCAAAGTGAACCCCAAAGTTTGTATATAGCAAACAAACGTACATAGAAAGATAATTTAAAGGGTAAATAGATACAATTACAATGTCATTGTACTATTTCCCTTCAAATTATCTGTATATTTGTTTGCTACAAAATTGGGGTTCACCTTGCGGATAACTTTGAGGATACAATTTGGGGTCAATTCAGGACCAATTCCGCAAATCCGCCAATATGTTTATAAATTATTGACTATGATATATGTTAAAACCAAGTTATCATGTAATAAAGTCCAAAACATAGTGACAATAAAATGTTTATTAGCATCGCTAGTCAGGATAAATGAATTTCAGTTTGTATATAAATCAAGTAATATGTTAATAAAATATTAGAGCATAACAGAGTTCATTGTCTGAAGCATAGTGGAGGACACCAGTACATGAATATTTCCTTAATTAATTCTGCAACTTTGATTGGCTAATAGCCATACATTGATTTTACCCGAATATAACCTAGGATATAACCGTTAACCTCTTACCTCATAGGACATAAAACCGGCTATTAGATTTTATTAAAGGTCATCACCTTCGGGTAAAAGGTTAACCGGGTACGACCACTACTTGAGAACGATCTAATATCTAATGACAATAACTAGAATTATTTTGTTTGTGAAATGAAAAAAAACTGTCTACGAAATGAGCAGTTTGTAAAATAAACTGCTATGTAGTAAACTTGTCTGTGAATTGATTGTCTGTCGGTAAATTGATTTTCAATAATGTATTGTGTCTATAAAAGGTATGTCGGTGAAGTAAAACCAAATTTGGATTCATTATGGCGACAATCGTATGCATGTTAAAGAATGGTTAAGAATAGTTCAAGCATTTTTTTTTTTAAACGTGAATAATGAATGAGTCACATTATCTCTAAATTTTTTAATATTTTTAATATACTTTTAAGGACTCTGCATTATGTAATTGAAAAAAGTTTATTATTGGTAGGCAAAATTTTAAATGTAATTTTTTTTTGACGTAACTTTATTAAAATATCCTAAAAATGGTTAAATAATTTTTTAATAGTAGAGATTGAGGCTAACTAAAATTTTCTAATCACTTAACCGTTTAATTAAGATAATTGACCCATAACAAACTTAATTAAGGCCAGAATTATGAACAATTTCCTAAACGGTTAATCCCTAAATAATATTGTATAATTATCCCGATTATTATACATACGTAGTTGGCATTGTATCATCTTTACCTCATAATTATGAGCCATCGTTACATGGATTACATGATGATCAATATATACCTGTTTGGGGGCTTTACGGACCAATTTCTTTTTTTAAATTTTCTAAACTGACTTTTCTTTTATGCTACCATATAAGTTAATAAAATTTAGTTAAGGCTAATTTTTTTTTTTATCATAATATGAATAATTTTTTTTTTAATTAATTAGACATATCTATTGTTCAATTGTTACGCACATCATAACACTACCAGATTAAAGAAATTTAATTACAATAAAAATTGTTACAAATAATTTCCGCATTGTAAAATGTTGTTGTTACATTAAAAACCAATAATATTTAATATATATAATTGTAAAAACCAATCCTAAATAGTGGAAAAATTGAAGATGTTTAAAAATAGGATACTTTAATTTAATTGGCTAATAATGCAGTTTTTTAATCGAAAGTTGTTACAAATACATTTATGGTGCTTTGAACGAATTCTAAAAAGTAATTGCTCTTGTTACTCAGTTTTCAATTAATTTATTACATACTACACCGAGTCTCTCCAATATAATTATTATGGCAACTTTATTAATAAAGTCATTTTAGTCGAATCGAAGAGAATAAATGGATTTTTTAGGGTTGCGTACAGCATGCAATTTTTGTAGAATATTCTAGAACAAAGTATAAAATACTCATCTTAAAATTTACCTGTCAGGCATAATAAGATGTATGCGTGCAAGTTCTTTATTTATTTATTTATTTTTTGGCGTGTAAAAGATTTATACATGCATGCAAAAAAGTTGCAATAAAATTCATAAGCCATATTTGTGTAAGTAAAATATTTTAACTTGCACAGTCTGCAAAGTAAGTTGTTTTGAATTTAAACCCTAATTTTGTACATAAGTTATTTATAAAATGTGCATCGTACGATATGAATTTTGTATGCTATGCACACTATATAATTACGCGTATTGTACGTACTGTACGCGAAAAAAATTCAGGTATATATAATATAAATAGCATATCTCTAGCAAGGACTAGTTCTTTATATACATGATTTCTTTCGTAATCTTTAATGTCTTCACTGATATTACAAATATTACAATATCATGGGAAAGGGTCATTTCTGAAAATAAATGAAGAAATTGCACTACTAGGATGGAGCTCTAAATGAAATATTTAGAGGCTTGAGCGATCTTCGATTGAATAGCAAATTCAAAGAATAATCGACAGTAAATGGCAGTGTATGAAATTTTGAATGAAATTTCCGGTAGAAATATGGCAAAAGCCTCTTAGATCAGCTAGCACAGGTCATAATCCCAATGAAGATATTTAAAGAACTTAACAATAGAGAGGGATTATTACATTATGTGTGAGAAAGGGGCGATTTTCTATTATATTGACCAAATCATCTTAGTTTAGGGTTGTTAATGGAGCACTCCGTTGACTCCATTTTAATAGTAATACACTGGAGTATTACTATTAAAATGGAGTCAACAGTGTGCTCCATTAACAACTCTATCTTAGTTACGTACGCCTCTGGCGAAATACAAAAGTTAAAAGCTATCACGTTAAAAGATTACAATCTGTAAAAAACCAGTCTCAAACTAGTACAAAACCAGTTAACATACCCAATTTCAGGAGTATAAACCTGATGCTTCTAAAATCAGATAATTTACCGTTAAAAAATCATGGACCCTACCGATTGTGTGACTCATCTTTAAAATTAGTTAAATGCTATTCTGATACAGATAACAAGTAGCGATCACAAACTATATACGTAATAGATCTCTTGATTTTTGCTACGCTTTATGCAATCTTGAATACGTAAGCACATCAAAAATTCTAATTTTATGATTTAAAGCCACAAACTACGATCGTAATATAACAATGGAAATTCATGACATTCATAGTTACATATGTACATACGTATGCAGAATTTGTTATTTATAAAATAAATCTTGGCGCAAACATAGTTTAAAAAAAAATACGACTTAATTGCAAAATGGTTAGAAAATTAAATTTATACCGTCATGTATTTTCTCGTATTGAACGCCTTAGTATTAATATTCTGTGTAGATAATTCTATATTTTGATTGGTGTATTTTTATGCAATAATTGATATATTGTACTCTCGCACGGAGTGTGTGCGAAATCAAATGCTTTATTACCCGATTTGGTATCGGTATCAAATAATTACACTACGTGCGTATAATACATAATATCAAACTAACTAGAAAAATACATATAAATACTATTGTATTTCCCCATTTTTTCTTTTCGTATCTTTTTTTTTCCTCTTTTCTATTCCTTAATTGTCTGTAAAGATGGTCAGTTGGCTAGAAACAATCTTTGGGTATGGATTTTATTAGTATTAGTGACTTAAGGTTGCATCTACCATCATTTACAAAATGTCTATTTATTTAATAGTTACCAGACCTTTAAAATGGTCAGAGTCAAAGAGTAAGTGTTATACTTTTGAAATTATTTATTACTTTTTTTCAATGCTTATTAATTTTAACTAATATGCTTAGTCTTCGATTAGGTGTCATATACCGATGTTTTCAACTTGCAATTCTATTTTATATTTTGTTTGAAGTTATTTACAACCAACGTTACCTAAAAACGGTACCTTGTTTAAAATTTTCTATACTAATTATTATTATTATTATTATTAAAATTTGTTGTGTATTTGCTAAATCTGTAGGAAGCCCCCGTACCTGCTGCCGTCAGAATAACATTACAAGCACCAAATAATTTTGCTAATTTTGCAGCTCCTTCTTATTGTAACGTATCATTGCCATGCACTTTTTGGGGTGCCAATGAAGGTATGTAATTTTAGTATTCTTTAATTTAAATTCTTTTCTAATTTAAATTAACTTATAGCAACAATTTTATATAGTACAATTCCCTTCTGATGGTGCTGGTGTTGCATTTTTTACCACCAGAGCATCCGCACTTAATTATCCTAACCTACCTGGGTGTAATCCTTTAAGAGTTACGTCTCCATCAGATCCATGCTTCTTTAGTCCAACAAACAATAATGTAACAATTTTACCAAAATCTTATATTGGTGGCATTGAGAATTACACTGTAAGTTATCATATATACATATATTGTGCATGTATTTTTATTATATTTATCTCATTAGTTAAAACCAGTATTATCTTTTGGAAAAAGATGATGATTGAACATTCTATAAGGGGGAAAGCTACATCTATTGCGATTCGAAATGGATTGATGGATGGTCATCTTTATGATTCCAACGGAAAATTGATTAAAACAATGACGAATTCTACTAGAGTATGTATTATATATATATATATATATATATATATACTTTCACTAAGTAATTAAATGTCCAACGCCTTGAATGTTTTGACATTGAACAGATCGTAGAAAATCCTAGTGCTGATGGTGATATTTTTACCGTTCAAGAATTTCTTTCGGCAGCTGGTGCAGATTTGGATGGTAATATACTTAATTTTCATATTTCTTTTCAACGAATATTATCTCAAAAACTGAACAGCAACTTGATACTTTAAGTTCAACAGTCTAAAATATAGATAAAGAATGTCATTTCATTAAATTTTTAATGAAGTTTTGAATTTTATTAAAAAAAAAAATTAATGAAAAGATTTTTCTTTATATATTTGTCATTTTTGAGATAATACTTACTGCGACGTTAATTCCATTATGTTAACGTCCTTATCAATTGATTTTCATAAATTTGTAAATAATGATATCCTCTTTCTTTTTATAAAGCTCCTTCCACAGCTCCTGGTGCTAATAAGGCAGCGGGTGAGACATATAGATCATCTGGAATAGTCATTGCTGTCGTAATTGAATATTTAAACGCCAAATATCAGGTATTTTATTTGAGAAAACAATTCTTAATATTCGGTAGATACGATTGATAAGATTGATATTGTGATTTTATTTTTAGGAAGATCAATTATATTATAACTATCGCCCTCGAATAATTGATGGGAACGAGTATAAAGTTACAGAAAACTTGGTTAATGGTACTGATGGCTCTGTTACACTTGTAGATAGGCACGGGTAAGATTTGACATCTATTTTCGCTTGCCTTTTTTATTCCTTGCGTTTAAATTTTTAATGTTTTCTAACTTTCATTTTAACAATGATGTAGTATTCGTTTCGTATTCCAGCAAACTGGGACGATAGGTGTATTCGATTTTGTCACTCTTCTTACGGCTTTAGTGGCAAGCTTTACACTTTTGGTGAATTTTATTTTTTTCTCTTTATTTGTCTCTTTAATTGTTAGATTATTACGTATTATTAACACTAATCATTTTACAGAAAGTTGCCGAGATCATCGTAGAGCAAATCATGTTAAGATTCCTTCCAGAAAAACAAACTTACGAAGAAATCAAGTTTGTCGAAACTGAGTACAAACGTGGTGAAGGAGTTGAAGTAAAACCAACGAAGAGTGAAGTTTAAATAAAAATGAATTTTAACTGTTGAATATAAACCACAACAGGATCAAATGTAGTGATAGGCTTCTTTAGCGATATTAAAATTATGGGTGCGGTAGTGTGTTCAATTTTAAAAAATTTATTATACAAAAATGTCACCCAAACAAACCTAACAACTGTTTTGAATTCGCATAATTTATTTGGATTACATACTGTAAATTCATATTTATATATTAACCGCACTTATAATTATCGATTAAATGTTTTCTAGTAGTATTTAGTTTTTTCACTTAATAGAATTTAATTCAATTTTATAATTTTCTAATGTAAAATTTAATTATACGTTTATTATTGCTGGGTTTTAATAATAAATTAACTAGGTAAAAAAAAACAAAAAAAAAACACTTTTTTTAATGGTCACAAAAAGTTTCTTTTTGGTGTATTTGTTGATAGATATTAACGTTTAGACGTAATAGTATATCGTGCTGTGCCTATACTGATAAGCAAGATAAGTTGTTAGACGAAACCTTTTTCGCATGATGACGAAAGACGAAACCTCTGACGAAGTCGAACCCCCAAATTCTTCTGACAAAAGACGAAACCTTAAACTTAAGATGATGAAACCTTACGCTCAAAAAGACGAAACCCTAGTGCTCCCGCTCAAAAAGAAAAAAAAAATTGTTATTATTATTTTCATTGAATTAATATTCAAGTTTATTTAGAGATCAGTATCCGAAATACATGTATGCCAGCAAAAATAAACCAGTTCATCTTTTCTGGATAACGCTAGGGTTGTTATAGACCAGTTGAAATAACTTTGTCAAAAAGCCATAGTACTCATGGAAAATAAATTAAAACATACTGCTACAAAATAAATTTGTAAGATCACAAAGTAAGCACCAAGCGATTTCTCACTAGAACTGATATGTAGTGTACAAGTATAATACAATATAGAATACTCATTTCTAACGCCCTTTAAACAATTCAAGCGCCTACTATACAATAAAATTTTTTGTAATTTTATAATCTTCAATGAGCTTCAACATTTATTCGCATATCTGTCTTTATTAGTTTGTCTCCCTTTACAGTTTCGTCACCCTCAGTATCATCACTTTCATCAGTTTCGTCACCTTTTGTCAGTTTCATCATTTCATCATTTAAGATTTTAATTGACGAAAGACGAAACTAGGTTTCGCGTTTCGTCAGCGCGAAACCTCGAGGTTTCGTCTAGCAATTATAGCCCATATACTACGTATAATGAGTGCAGGCGCCAAGGAATGTCATTTATGTACCAGATAAATCATGCATATGTCTATAGAGTGCCCAGGAATTTGGTACTATATGTATTCATAGGAACTAAGTGCACAGTTCGTGTTCCATGGATACAATAGTGTTGAACATTTTTAGGTCGTACTTGCATAATCCTACACTAGTGTTTGGTCTAGACTAGTCGAAAATGATTAGTTGACGCGATTGAAAATTTTTGAATCGTTTAGTTAACAATTAATCATTAAAAATTTTGAATCAACTAACTAATCGATTGAAAAATTTTTACCGATTTGTAATGTGGCGCATTTTGTATTTGTAATTTAATGTTTCTCTTATAATGTCAATCCGAAACGATCAAACTTTACGTTCACGGTTGGTTAGTTCTTATAACTGTAACAGAGTGCATTGGATGTCGCCAAGAGAAATCGGTTTCTTTGTATATTAACTTTTAATAAAATATCTTAAAACTAGTAATCAAACACTTAACATTATTTGAATTGTCTTATTAAGATGATTTAAAATAATATGTATTCTATTACTAGTGTTTGAGATATTTTATTGAAATTAGATACTCGAACATGATTTGCAAGTTTTCTTTCTTGGCGTCACTTATATAAAAGTAAAACTAATAAATGGTGTACCATATTTATCGCAAACTTCGGAATTATAAGATGATTGCAATATGTCTAGAACTAAAATAGAATTTTCTAATTTGGATTCTGAAATCAAAGGAATTAATTTTTTTAATCAGAAGCAGAAATTAATTTAATGCACAATATTGTATCACTTTCTAATTATATATTTCTAAAACTAAAATGTTATATTTTAAGTTAGTGAACCTGCAGAGTCTTATTCATATGTAAAGAAATTTCAAACCTGCGTTTTAAACTTTAACTTTTACTTCCCTTAATATAAATAATCGGATGTAATATTTTGAAACAGAAATTTACAACTCGAGATTGTGCCCATTCATTTTAGGACGGGCATAAGTAATGAACACAAAGTATCTAGCTTAAAGATACAAGGCATTTTTGGTTCAGCTCAACTAACGACTTACTAAAAGGAGCTGAGCTATTTTTGACCGGGCCGCATTTTAGCCTTGCCAAGCCATTTATTAGACGCAGCTACAATTATATTGTTATATTTTCAATTATCTTTGCTTAAATGCATGTACAGTTAATTTGTGAATATGATAAACATATATAGAAACACGATTTAAGAATAAATTTATGCACCCTACGATGTTAGGGTTTCCGACATACTAATTAATCGTGCATAGATCGTTAAATCACTAGCGAATACTAGCATCAAAACAATTGATCCATTTCGCGTACAACCCATTTTTCTCCAGAAATTTATACACAAAACGATTAGTTTAATATGTTACAGTTAAATTTTTTTTTACAAAGTAAATTCTTAACTTTAGTATATGTTCTTACTAATTTAATCTTTAAAAACATTTAATTAATTAAAAACTTTAAACTAAACCTTTTTTTCTAACATATTAAACCAATCGTTTAGTCTTCGCTAGTGAATTTAACAATTGTGCCGATCTATGCACAAATCTGTGCTATTGTAATACCTTACATAGTTTTAATTAATTAGATGTGCTAACGCTAATTCATTGCGTGCATATATAAATTATAATTTGTGTAACACAATTATACGTTACAAAAATCAATTCTTGATTAAGATTAGGGTTATAGGTTAGCGGTTTAGTAGGGCAATGAATTTTTTGTTAGAGATCAAAAAGAAGTTTCATAGAGTTATAACGAATTTTTAAACATTTCAGTCAAATTTAATTGATCATTTGTCAAAATGTGATATATAAGCACATTGTAGGGGTACAACACCTAATTAATTTCTTTTTTAAAAAGAAAAGAAAAAATTATTTGAAGTATTTTTTTGAAAGAAAATAAAAAAAAAATTAAAAAAAGTTTTCAAAGCAATAGCTATATATAACTATATTCTTAATTTCCAATAATATCTTAAAATTTTACTAGAGTACCCTGTTGTATAACTAATTGAAAATGCAATTTTACTCTATTTTAACTCTAATTCTAACTTTAACTTTAATATAGCTATAAAATTTTTCTATAAAAAAAACTATATTAATACAAATTAATTCTAAAATAAAATAAAATAAAGCTTTTAAAATATTTTTTTAAAAAACTTTTTAAATAGTTTTTTTTTCAAAAAAATAAACAAGTTTTTAAAAAAATAGTTTAAAAAAATACTGTAAAAGTTTTTAATTGATGTCTTATAAGTTAACAAAAGAAAATAATATACAATTACCAAGTAAATATAAATATTTTAATTAATAAAAATTCTAATCTGTAAATGTGAAAAATTTTATATTGATATATATTATTGGGAATTATTGTTAGTACTTAGCAAAATCAAACAAAACTCAATTATCAAGTTTTTGAATCTATTAATTTACAATATAATACATTAAATACATATTTTATTTTTAGTATATATATAAATTTAACAGAAATTTGATCTTACTTTAAACTTCATAGTAACTAACATGGAAGTTTAAAGTCAGATTAAAGTAAATATAGATTTTATAATTGAAGCACAATACTATAAATTGATAGATTTAAAAATTTAATAATTGAGTTTTGTTTAATTTTGCTAAGTACCAATTATAGTAAATATTATATATAAATTTTATTTAGAGTATTTTATATAAAATAAAAAAAAAAACAAAGTGTGGTGACTTAGTGAAGTGGTAAAGTTGTCACACCCCCAAGCTAGCTTAACTATGATAATGAGTTTAAATTCTACTGATAATGCTTTAAATAAAAATATCTGTATTATAGTAACAGATCTTTATTAAGTTGGAGCTTAGTTATAACTATAACTTCAGTTGTAGTAATCTGTAACCTTGAGTCACACCAATGCTCTGTATTAGAAAGTTGTCACACTAGGATATTTATATCCCTTAAACTATAAACTTTAGCAGACAAATTTGACTGCTAAAATTTTAAATCTTTAATGTCTGATCTAATTTTGTCAAAATTTAATATATTTAAAAAAAAATTTATATAATAATATTATAAAATAAGAATTATAAAATAGTAATATTTATTTTTAATTTATAAAAAAAAAAAATAAAGTTGTCTATATACTAAAAATCTTCTAAATTTAAGGGTAAAAAGTACTATTTTAAAATTATATATAAACTTAATAGTATATTTTTTTTATATTTAATTTTATAAAAAAAATAATATTAAGTAAACTAATTTTAATTTTTAATATTTAATTTTATAAAAAAAATAATATTAAGTATACTAATTTTAATTTTTAATAAAGTTTGTAAAGTGAGTCTTTCTAATTCTAATGGTAGTAAAATCATTAAAATTGGTCAAAAACTTAGTAAAATATAAAATTTTAAAGATTAGATATAAAAATTTATTGATAAAATTAATATATAGATTAGCCAACCAAATTTGGCGATTTTGTATAACCCCAGAAAATTTTGAGCCAACCCAGAAAAACTTTGTAATATATATATAAGTATGGATTTTATAATTTATTACACGGTGCAATACATTGCACCTCCTATAAAAATTAGGATTGGTATTAAAGTTAGTGTTAGGGTTAGTGTTAGTATTAAAATTAGGTTTAGAATTAGATTTAGAGTTATGTAAAATTGCAAAGAGAGTATTTTTACTTAGTTATATAACAGGGTTACTCTAGTAAAATTTTGAGATATGGCCAATTTTAAGTAAAGTTATGATTAGATAG